TATCATACCATAGCAGTGATTGTGTGTGTTTATATGTTTTAAATACATTTTTTGTTTTATAATAGTTTTAGGCCAAGGCAGGTGGATCCCTTGAGGTCAGGGGTTTGAGACCAACCTGGCCAACATGGTGAAGCCCTGTCTCTACTAAAAAAAAAAAAAAAAAAACCACAAAAATTAGCCAGGCATGGTTGATGGGTGCCTGCAATCTCAACTACTTGGGAGTCTGAGGCAAGAGAATTGCTTGAACCTGGGAGGCGTAGGTTGCAGTGAGCCGAGATTGCACCACTGCCCTCCAGCCTGGGCAACAAGAGCAAAACTCTGTCTCAAAAAAAAAAAGTTTTAGACAAAATTTGCAGAGATAGGAGAGAGAGTTCTCATATATCTGACAAATAGTTTTCCCTATTTTTAACATTTTACATTATTATGGTATGCTAGTCACAATTAATGAACTGATGTTGATACACTATTATTAACTTATGAACTAAAGCCCATACTTTATTTAGGCCTCCCTGGTGTGTGTGTGTGTGTGAGCATGCACACGCATGCATGTGTGTTTTAATCTAATATCCCCTTTGTTTCTGATCCAGGACTCCGTTGAGGGTATGCATTACATTTAGTTGTCATATTTTTCCTAGGCTTCTCTTAGGTAAACAGTTTCTCTTTCTCAGACTTTCCTTGCTTTTGATAACCTTAACAGTTTTGAGGAGTTTTGGCTATGTATTTTGTAGAATGTCATTTAATTGGAATTTTTCTGATGATTATATTTTAATTACTGTCACCATATTTTTAATTGCTAGTTCCTTCCAACATCCCACCAAAAGTGTCAGAATTAGAAAGTGTGCCTCAAACACAAAGAGTTTGAGAACCACTGGTCTACATCAAAGCAGACAGTAAAGTAGCGCGAGTCAAGGTTATTGAGATGTTGAGTCTACCATTTGACCTTTAGTTTCAAAAAGCCAGGTAGGCTTTTGGACCTTTTCCACAGTGGCTGGATAGATAGCAATCTCAATTTGTACTGTCTGCATGTCACCCAAAATGGCCAGGCCATCGGCCACCCGCTTCATTTAGCAGCCCTGACTTAGAAAACAATAGCTCTTTGCTCAAAGGTTGCTGTTGTAGTGACTCATCTTGCAATTAAAAAGGAAGGTAAACTACACATAATGACATTCTAAGTTGTCCCACAGTTTTCAACAGAAAATACTCTTAAAGTATAACCAGAAACAAGAAAACTTCAATGCAATATTTTCCTTTTTGTTTTTCAAATGAGTAAAGTCCAAACTAGGGAACAGAAACAAGTATATCCTATGAATTTGTAACGCCTACAACCACAGAAGTATTCTAGTATGGAAGAGCTGTTGTGCCTCTTCTAGTAATTAAATGTGTGCAAGTTACAGCCTTAATTAAAACACCTTTTAGGAGTCTACTCTGGTCTTGATGAGAGTGAAGTTCCTAAGTGCTGGCAACTTTGGAGCACTAAACATTACTGACAATGCTGGAAATGGTACAGTCTTTACCTCAATAAAGAAGACAATACCCGATATGTCCCCTGGAGCTCAAAATTAAAATATTTGTATTGGAATACAGACAGGCTGAAAGATGTGTTCCATGAACCAAAAAGTACTCACCGTGTTGGCGAGCTCTAGGTAGCTTCCTCCTACAGAGTTACCAGCATGCGAGGACTGCGTGAGCTGTTTGTGGAGAGCAGCCTGCTGATGCAAAGAGCTTCCACTATACTCGAGCAGCTTCTGGAGGGCTAACTGGCTCTGCACATCCGGGCTCTGGAGGTCCCTGGCACCAGAATCGTATTCCCAGCTCTCCCTGGCGGCTGATAAGGCACCTAAGTCCGGGAGAAGCAGAGAAAATGAAAAGACATTTCCTTCATTAGCCTGTGGGTGGCCAATAGGCAATGATTTGGAACCTCCTAAGCCTTCCATGTGCCAGCAACTCGGAACATATGTGGCACCCAGGCTGCATGCTAAGCACTTTCCCTTTCAAACCGACACATGGGGAGCCTGGAGATAAAAGCAATTTCAGGCAAAGCATTCAGAAATAACTATCCAATGAATATGTGCCCCCTAAACAGAAATGCTTAGCATAAAAGCAGTGGAGAGCCAAGTAAAGGGAATCCAGATCAGTCACATCTGTGATTTGCACAGGGCTAGTATATTAGCCTTAGCATTGGTCATTCTTCCTTCCCAAAAAGGAAGAAACAAGAGAAATGACAGAAAGTTAAGATATGGCACTTTATCATGACTTTCTTTTTCTTTCTTCCCTTCATTTCCTTCCTTCTTTCCTTCCTTCCTTTCTTCCTTCCTTCCTTCCTTTCCTTCCTTTCTTCTTCTCTCTCTCTTTCGTTCTTTCTTTCAACACAGGGTCTTGTTCTGTCATCCAGATGGGAGTACAGTGTCATGATCACAGCTCATTACAGCCTCAACCTCCTGGACTCAAGTGATCCTCCTGCCTCATTAAAATTTTTTTTTATTTTGTAGACCTCATTTCTACAGTATGTTGCCCAGGCTGGTCTCAAACTCCTGGGATCAAGCAATCCTCCTACCTTGGTCTCCCAAAATGTTGGGATTACAGGCATGAGCCACTGTGCCCAACAGTATCATGACTTTCTAATGCTGATGTATTCTTACCTGAAGGAAGCTCGATTGTATTTTCCATTTAGGGATTGCAATGAAGCTGAGTTCTGGGCAATAGAATATGAACAGAAATTATCAGCATCACTGCTGGGCCTTGCTTATAAAGCCCCACAGTGTGTGATTCTCCATGCCCTTTGCCTTCCAGCCTGATTCAGATGAGAATGGTACCCTTTAGCCACGTGGTACAGATGGTGGAGCCACAAGGTAGATGGAAGATGCCTGGATCCCAGAATCATCACTTGCAGAAGAGCTGTCTGCTCATCCTAAGTACCCTGTTTCGACCTCATATGATTAGAAAATAAACTTTTTTTAGCATATTTTTTATTTCTTTTTTTTTTGGGAACAGGTGGTGTTCGGTTACATGAATAAGTTCTTTAGTGGTGATTTCTTTTCTTTTCTTTATTTTTTTGAGCTGGGGTCTCGCTCTGTTGCCAGGCTGGAGTGCAGTGGCATGATCTCGTCTAACTGCATCCTCTGCCTCACTGGTTCCAGCAATTCTCCTGCCTCAGCCCCCCAAGTAGCTGGAACTACAGGCGTATGCCACCACTCCCAGCTAATTTTTTAATTTTTTTTTAGTAGAGATGCGGTTTCACCAAGTTGGTCAGGATGGTCTTGATCTCTTAACCTTGTGATCTGCCTGCCTTGGCCTCCCAAAGTGCTAGCATTACAGGCGTGAGCCACCGCACCCAGCTTTAGTGGTGATTTCTAAGATTTTGGTGCACTCATCACCTAAGCAGTGTACGCTGTGCTCAATGTGTAGTCTTTTATCCCTCACCCCCCACCCAGCCTTTCCCCTGAGTCCCCAAAGTCCACTGTGTCACTCTTATGCCTTTGCGTCCCCATAGCTTAGCTTCCACTTATAAGTGAGAACATACGATGTTTGGTTTTTTTTAGTCCTGAGTTATTTCACTTAGAATAATGGTCTCCAATTCCATCCAGGTTGCTATGAAAGCCATTATTTTGTTCCTTTTTATGGCTGACTAGTATTCCATGGTGTATATATACCACATTTTTTTTATCCACTCATTGATTGATGAGCATTTGGGCTGGTTCCATATTTTCACAATTGCAAATTGTACTGCTATAAACATGCATGTGCAAGTATCTTTTTCATATATTGACTTATTTCCCTCTGGGTAGATATCCAAGAGTGGGATTGCTAGATCAAATGGTAGATCTCCTTTTAGTTATTTAAGGTACTTCTATTGTGTTTGATTCACCGTATATTTTTGGTTTGTTGTTAGAGCAGCTAGTATCATCTTAACTATTACAGACGATTAGAAGGTAATAAAAGATGCTAATATTTATAATACAAATGGGAAAGTGCAATGAAAAAGTAGAACTAAAGGGGGGATATCTAGCTCAGTCTACCTGGAGATGAAGGGGAATGTTCAGGGAAAGCGTCCTGGAGGAGAAAGCCTGATGTTTCAGTTGTTACTCTTTCCAGAAAAAATGGATTTGAAGTAACACCTGCTTCCTTGTGTTGTGTTGTTCACTCTGAATGGAAGTTTCTTGTGGGTGCATCCGGTTGGTGAAGCCTAGGTAGCATGCCTCTAACTACAAGGAAAGCTGGGTAAATGTGTTTTCTGGTTTTACTTTAGAGAGGCAGTATTTATAAGGTGAGACATTTCCTAAACAGGAAAGGGTGCTCAAAAGGCCTGGGCAGCCAGAAAACAGACAATGGCCTATGCACAGGACGTGTACTGGGTCCTGTGGATATAGCAGTAAACATGATAAACTGTAGTCCCTGCCTGCAAAGATCTCATTCTGGAGGGTCTTTAATACATGGCTTTTAATGACAAAAAAGGGACACAAAATGATCCAGTTTGTACTATGACATGAGAACATATATAGATTGCTCTATAATTTACTTGAGAATAATTACATACAGCAAACTGCAGTTTGTGTACAGTGAGTTCCGACATGAATGTCCAGTCTACCCTTATCAGGTATCGATGAATTTAATCATTGTGAATAGGAAACCTGTCTTCAGATGGTTTCCTACTGTTCTGGCTCTGCTGGTCCTCTCCAGTCGGTCTAACCCAACATTCTTTTTATACGGTGCCTTTATAGCTGGGACGCATCAACTGCTTTTATCAAAGCAGTCAATTCTGTCACTATGTTTGCAATTGCTCCAAGTTTATTTTAATAAATAAACTTGACTGTATTGCAAGGGAGGTTTTGCTTTCCTTAACATAGACTGGTAAATGCCTGCCCTCCCTCCCCCTGTTCCTCTGAACATTGTCTGTTATCTGCCTAAATGCTTCAGGGTCCCTGTTCTGGCTCCAGCAACATGTGGCAAGAAGACTATGGAGGCCACAGCTGAAAAGTGGAGCCCTCACATTGGATCAAGTCATGGACTGATTTGTATCTCATAGGTAAGACATGGTGCTCGGCCTTGCCTCATATGTTCACCACAGTACTCTCAGCATCATACAGAGGGCTTGTGACATATAGCATTTAATGAACATTTATTGAATGGATTGCTGAGCCATCCATGGTTGTAGTACTCCAGAGTTTCACTTTTTAACCTGGAAATACAACATGGAAGTTACTTTTTAAAATCAAAATAAATTATACACATAAACTTTTTCTTTATGCAAACATGAAGCCTCATTCGCAAATAAGAAAATACAATAGTTCTGAGGTGGAGCAAGATGAATAGAAGCCTGAATAGAAGCTTCCACCGATCATTCCCCTCTACAGAAACACCAAATTTTAACAACTATCTACACATAAAATAGCACCATCATCAGAACTGACAATCAGGTAATCAATCACAGTTCCTGGTTTTAACTTCCTCTCGCTGAAAGAGGCACTGAAGAGGGTAGGAAAGGCAGTCTTGAATCGCCAACACCACTCCTCACCTACCTTCCAGCAGCAGTTATGTACTGTGGAGAATTTGTGCTTATGGGAGAGGCAAAGCACAGCAAATGGGTGACCTGGCATTGAACTCAGTGCTGCCCTGTGACAGCAGAGAGCCAAGCTGTGCTGGGCTCAGCCACTGCCCACCCATGGAGGGGGCATTTGGATCAGCCCTAGCCAAAGGGGAATTGCCCATCCCAGCAGTCGGAACTTGAGTTTCTCAGCAAGCCTTGCCATAGTGGGCTAAAGTGCTCTGGGTGGGGGGCGATTCTAGATAAACCTGAAAGGCAGTCTAGGACACAAAGACTGCAATTATTCCTAGGCAAATCCTAGTGCTGGACTGGGCTTAGAGCCAGTGGACTAGGGCAGCATGTGACCTAGTGAGACATCAGTGGGAGTGGCTAAAGGAGGGCTTGCATCACCACCTCAATAACCCCAGGCAGCACAGCTTGCAGCAAATAAAGTGACACCTTCCTTCTGCTTGAGGAGAGGAGAGAGAAATGTAAAGAGGATTAAGTTTTGCATCTTGGAAACCAGCTCAGCCATAACAGGACAGGGCACCAGGCAGAGACCTGAGGCCCCCATTCTAAGCTCTAGCTTCCAGACATTTCTAGACATACCCTGGGCCAGAAAAGGAACCTGTCTTGAAGGAAAAGACCCAGTTCTGGCCAACATGGTGAAACTCCATCTCTACTAAAAATACAAAAAAAAAAAAAAATTAGCCAGGCATGACGGCAGACACCTGTAATCCTAGCTACTCAGGAGGTGAGGCAGAAGAATTGCTTGAACCGGGAGGTGGAGGTTGCAGTGAGCTGAGATCATGCCATTGTACTACAGCCTGAGCAACAAGAGTGAAACTCTGCCTCAAACAAACAAACAAACAAACGAACCCAAAAAACCCAAAAAGTTTACTGAAAGGGATATTTTCAGAATACCTCTCAAATCTAGAGAAAGATATCAACAGTCAAGTATAAGAAGGTTATAGAACACCAAACAGATTTAACCCAAAGAAGACCACCTCAAGGTATCTAATAATCAAACTCCCAAAGGTCAAGGATAAAGAAAGGATCATAAAAGCAGAAGAGAAAAGAAACAAATAATATACAATGGAGTTCTAATACGTCTGGAAGCAGACTGCTCACTGTAAACCTTATAGGCCAGGAGAGAGGGGCATGACATATTTAAAGTGCTGAAGAAAAGAAAAAACCTTTTACACTAAAATAGTATATCTGGTGAAAATATCCTTCAAACATGAGGGAAAAATAAAGACCTTCATAGACAAACAGCATCTGAGGAATTTCATCAACATCAGACCTGACTTATAAGAAATGCTAAAGGATGTTCTTTAATCTGAAAGGAAAGGATATTAATGAGCAAGAAGAACTCATCTGAAGGTATAAAACTAAGTGGTAATAGTAAGCACACAGAAAAAGACAGAATATTGTAATACAGTAACTGTGGCATGTAAACTACTCTTATAAGTAGAAAGACTAAATGATGAACCAATAAAAAACAATGACTACAACAAATATTTAAGACATAGAGAGTACAATGAGACATAAAGAGAAAGAACAAAAAGTTAAAAAATAGGGAAGATGTTAAAGTATAGAGTTTTTATTAGTTTTCTTTTTGTGTGTTTCTTTTTGTTGTTTATGCAATTAGTGTTGTCATCAGTTTAAAATAATGGGTTATAAGATACTACTTGCAAACCTTGCAATAACATCAAATCAAAAAACATACACTGAATACATAAAAAATAAAAAGCAAGAAATTAAACCACACCACCAAAGCAAATAACCTTCACCAAGAAGAAGACAGAAAGGAAGCAAAATAGGAAAAGAAGACCACAAAACAATCAGAAAACAAATAGCAAAATGGTAAGAGTAAGTCCTTACTTACCAATCATAACATTAAATGTAAATGGGCTAAATCCTCCAATCAAAAGACAGAGTGCCTGAATGGATTAAAAAAATCAAGACCAAATGACCTGTTGCCTATAAGAAACATGCTTTACCTATAAAGATACACATAGACTGAAAATAAAGGGATGAAAAAAGATATTCCATGCCAATGGAAACCAAATAGTAACTATACTTGTATCAGGCAAAATAGATTTCAAGAAACAAACTAGAAAAAGAGACAAATAAGGTCATTATATAATGAAAATGGGGTTAATTCAGCAAGAAGATGTAACAATTGTAATTATGCACCCAACAATGAAGCACCCAGATATATAAAGTAAATATTATTAGAGCTAAAGATAGAGAGAAAGATCTAAATGCCCTAATAACTGGAGACTTTAACACTCCATTTTCAGTGTTGGACAGATCTTCCCAGTAGAAAATCAGCAAAGAAACATTGGACTTAATCTGTGTAATAGAACAAATGGACCTAATAGATATTTACAGAATATTTCTTCAATATCTGTAGGATACACATTCTTTTCCTCAGCACACGGGTCATTCTCAAGGATAGAATATATTTTAGGTCACAAAGCAAAAGTATTAAAACATTCAAAAAATTTAAATAATATCAAGCATCTTTTCTGACCACAATAGAATAAAACTGGAAATCAGTAACAAGAGGAATTTTGAAAATCATACAAACACATGGAAATTAAATAATATGCTCCTGAATGACTAGTGGGTCAATGAATAAAATAAGAAAGAAATGGAGAAATTTCTTGAAACAAATGATAGTGGAAACACAATATTCCAAAACCTGTGGGATACAGTGAAAGCAGTGCTGAGAGAAGTTCATACCTACCAATGCCTACAACAAAAAGTAGAGAAATGAATAAAGAACCTAATGGTGCATCTCAAAGAACCAGTAAAGCAAGAGCTAATCAAATCCAAAATTAGTAGGAAAAAATAACAATAAAGATCAGAGCAGAAATAAATAAAATTGAAACAAATAAAACAATACAAAAGATCAATAAAACAAATAGTTGGTTTTTTGAAAAGATAAATAAAATTGACAAACCTTTAGCCAGACTAAGAATAAAAAAGAGAAGACTCAAATAAATGAAATCAGACATGAAAAAGGAAACATTACAACTGATACTGCAGAAATTCAAAGGATCATTAGGTGGCTACTATAAGCAACTATGCCAACAACTTGGAAAACCTAGAGGAAATGGATAAATTCTTAGACACATACAACTTATCAAGATTGAACCATGAAGCAATCCAAAGCTTGAATAGACCATTACAAAATAATGAGATTGAAGCTATACTGAAAGTCTTCCAGTAAAAACTGCTGTGACCCAATGGCTTCACTGCTGAATTCTACCAAACATTTAAAGAACTAACACCAATCCTACTCAAAGTGTTCAAAAAAATAGAGGAGTACGGAACACTTTCATACTCATTCTATGAGGTCAGTATTACCCTGATACCAAAAACAGAAAAAGCCACATCAAAAAAACCTACAGGCCAATATCCCTGATGAACATTGATGCAAAAATCCTCAATAAAATGCTAGCAAATTGAATTAATCAACACATTAAAAAGTTTACTCATAATGATGAAGTGGGATTTATCCTAGGGATGCAAGGATGGTTCAACATATACAATCAATCAATGTGATACGTCATATCAACTGAATGAAGGACAAAAACCACATGATCACTTCAACTGATGCTGAGAAAGTATTTGGTAAAATTCAATATCCCTTCATGGTAAAAATCCTCAAAAACCTTAGTATAGAAGGGGCATACCTAAACACAATAAAAGCTTAATATGGCAGACTCACAGCTAGTATCATACTGAATAGGGAAAAACTGAAAGTCTTTTCTCAAAAATCTGGAACATGAAAAGGATGCCTAGTGTCACCACTGTTATTCAACATAGTATTGGAAGTCCTAGCTACAGCAATCAAACAAGAGAAAGATATAAAAGGCATCCCAACTGGAGAAGAAGTAGTCAAATTATCCTTGTTTGCCTAATATATGTTCTTATATTTGGAAAAACCTAAACACTCCACCAAAATGCTATTAGAACTGATAGACAAATTCAGTAAAGTTTCAGAATATAAAATCAACATACAAAAATTAGTAGCATTTCTATATGCCAATAGTGAACAGTCTGAAAAAAAAAAATTAAAAAGTAATACTAGAAATACGAAGAGAAGCTGGTACCATTCCTTCTGAAACTATTCCAAATAATCCAAAAAGAGGGGATCCTTCCCAAATCATTTTATGAGACCAACATCATACTGATACCAAAACTGGGCAGAGACTCAGCAAGAAAATAAAACTTCAGGCCAATACCCATGATGAACATAGATGCAAAAATCTTCAATAAAATACAGGCAAACCGATTGCAACAGCACATCAAAAAGCTTATCCACCATGATCAAGTAGGATTCATCCCAGGGATGCAAGGCTGGTTCAACATACGCAAGTCTATAAACATAATTCACCACATAAACAGAACCAAAGACAAAAACCACATGATTATCTCAATTCATGCAGAGAAGGCCTTTGACAAAATTCAACAGCCCTTTATGCTAAAAACCTTCAATAAACTAGGTATTGACGGAACATATCTTAACATAATAAAAGCTTTTACGACAAACCAACAGCCAGTATCATACTGTTGATATTCATACTGAATAGGCAAAACCTGGAAGCATTCCCTTTGAAATCTGGCACTAGACAAGGATGCCCTCTCTCACCACTCCTATTCAATATAGTACTGGAAGTTCTAGCCAGAGCAATCAGGCAAGAAAAAGAAATAAAGGGTATTCAAATAGGAAAGGAGGAAGTCAAATTGTCTCTATTTGCAGACGACGTGATTGTATATCTACAAGACCCCATCGTCTCAGCCCAAAATCTCCTGAAACTGATAAGCAACTTCACCAAAGTCTCAGGATACAAAATCAATGTGCAAAATTCACAAGCATTCCTATACACCAATAACAGACTTAAAGAGAGCCACATCAAGAACAAACTGCCATTCACAATTGCTACAAAGAGAATAAAATACCTAGGAATACAATTAACAAGGAACATAAAGGACCTCTTCAAGGAGAACTACAAGCCACTGCTCAATGAAATAAGAGAGGACACAAACAGATGGAATAACATTCCATGTTCATGGTTAGGAAGAATCAATATCGTGAAAATGGTCATACTGCCCAAAGTAATTTACAGATTCAACACCATCCCTATCAAGCTACCAATGACCTTCTTCACAGAACTGGAAAAAACCACCTTAAACTTCATACAGAACCAAAAGAGAGCCCACATAGCCAAGTCAATTCTAAGCAAAAAGAACAAAGCGGGAGGCATCACACTACCGGACTTCAAACTATACTACAAGGCTACAGTAATCAAAACAGCATGGTACTGGCACCAAAACAGAGATATAGACCAATGGAACAGAACAGAGGCCTCGAAGGCAACACAACATATCTACAACCATCGGATCTTTGACAAACCTGACAAAAACAAGCAACGGGGAAAGGATTCCCTGTTTAATAAATGGCGTTGGGAAAACTGGCTAGCCATGTGCAGAAAGCAGAAACTGGACCCATTCCTGACACCTTACACTAAAATTAACTCCAGACGGATTAAAGACTTAAACATAAGACCTAACACCATAAAAACCCTAGAAGAAAATCTAGGTAAAACCATTGAGGACATAGGCATAGGCAAGGACTTCATGACCAAAACACCAAAAGCATTGGCAACAAAAGCCAAAAGAGAGAAATGGGACCTAATCAAACTCCAGAGCTTCTGCACGGCAAAAGAAACAGTCATTAGAGTGAATCAGCAACCAACAGAATGGGAAAAAATTTTTGCAGTCTACCCATCTGACAAAGGGCTGATATCCAGAATTTACAAAGAACTAAAACAGATTTATAAGAAAAAAACAAACAAGCCCATTCAAAAGTGGGCGAAGGATATGAACAGACACTTTACAAAAGAAGACATACATGAGGCCAACAAACATATGAAAAAATGCTCATCATCGCTGGTCATCAGAGAAACGCAAATCAAAACTACATTGAGATACCATCTCACACCAGTTAGAATGGCGATCATTAAAAAATCTAGAGACAACAGATGCTGTAGAGGATGTGGAGAAATAGGAACACTTTTACACTGTTGGTGGGAGTGTAGATTAGTTCAACCATTTTGGAAGACAATGTGGCGATTCCTTAAGGACCTAGAAATAGAAATTTCATATGACCCAGCAATCCCATTACTGGGTATATATTCAAAGGATTATAAATCATTCTACTATAAGGACATATGCACACGAATGTTCATGGCAGCACTGTTTACAATAGCAAAGACCTGGAACCAACCCAAATGCCCATCGATGATAGACTGGACAGGGAAAATGTGGCACATATACACCATGGAATATTATGCAGCCATCAAAAACGATGAGTTTGTGTCCTTTGTAGGGACATGGATGAACCTGGAAACCATCATTCTCAGCAAACTGACACAAGAACAGAAAATCAAACATGGCATGTTCTCACTCATAGGCGGGTGTTGAACAATGAGAACACATGGACACAGGTAGGGGAACATCACACACTGGGGTCTGTTGGGGGGAAATAGGGGAGGACAGTGGGGGGGTGGGGAGTTGGGGAGAGATAGCATGGGGAGAAATGCCAGATATAGGTGATGGGGAGGAAGGCAGCAAATCACACTGCCACGTGTGTACCTATGCAACAATCTTGCATGTTCCTCACATGTACCCCAAAACCTAAAATGCAATTTAAAAAAAAAGTAATTCCAAGTACAATAATCACAAATAAAATTAAATATCTAAAAATAAATTTAACTGAAGAAGTAAAAGATATCTATAATGAAAACTGTAAAACACTGATGAAAGAAATTGAAAAGAACCACCCCAAAATGGAAAGAT